ATCAAGCCATATTGTTTGAAAAGTAGGACCGTGTGAAGAAATTGAGACCACAAAAGCAAAATTATTTAAAAAGAAAAAAACCTAAAATTCTTGTTCTTGATTGGAATTGAAACCATTACTATTTTCAACATCATTTATAAGGGATTATTCTAGAATTTTCTGATCAATTGAACCTGTTGCTGCATTTTTTTTATTTTGAATAGTAATAAAGTTATCAAGACATTGTGATTGAATCAATATTTTTTTCTTTAATTTAATATAGCTAGATTCGAATTTAACATAACATTTTTGCCCCCTCAAATCCTATAAAAAATATAATTAAAACAATCACAATTTCTAATAGAAAGTAAAATAAAGAATGAGGAGGAACAAACACACTTGATGTGACCACTGATTGGTTTTCTTTGTTTTTATTGATAAAAGTGCAAAACTTTCATGATGTTTGGTAGAGTGAAATCACAAGCATGAAAAAGGAATTAGAACTGAAATCATAAAACAATGATGATTGGTATATGTAAATTTAAATTTTTAAAAATCCTGATTCAAGCAAAAAAAATAAATTAAATTAAATTCTTTGATGGGAGTTATGAAATTAGAGCAATTCTATGGAATTATATTTTTTGAAGACAATTTTATTCTCATACAAAAATAAAAAAGATAGCTATGCCCTTACTTATTTGTGATTAATACCGGAAGAATTGAGCGTGCAGACGGTCGCACAATGGACAATTGAAAATTCTCAACTTGTGCTTTCATTTATATATATATATATATAAATGCCCAATTCAAAATGCCTAATTTGGACAATTTAAATTTTTATATATATAAATTATAATATATATATGTTTATATATAATTTATATATTTATAATATTTCTTTTAAAAATATTTTACTTATTTTTAATATCCATCATCTATATAATATTTCATTTGTATATTAAATAGTATATGAGAAATTAAATCAAAGTTAAGTTTTTAATACATTTTAATTTTGATTTTAATTTTTAGGAGTATTTTTGTCTTTTAAGTATAATTTCATTTTCATGTCTTACATACCAAACACAAATAATATAAGAATTTTATCTATTTTTTCTAACATACCAAACATATTTTTAAAATTTAATTTTATTTTAATTCTGATTTCAATCTTGATTTCAATTCTGATTCCATCAAAAACTATTTAGTCGCACGAAAGATTTGCAGACTTCCCAGTGACAAAAAGCAAATCAAGTAATTAATCTAGCCACAATGCGAGTAGAAATGGCTTAGCAAAAGTTTTATTTTTATTTTTAATAAGAAAATGATAGTAGTGTAGGAAACAATTTGATTGACATCAAAGAGAAGAAGACGAAATAACAAAGTGATTATGTGACAGGGTAAATAATGATTATAGCAAAGCATATGCTCGTTACAGAATAGTTTATTGAAATTAGAAAGAAAAGTGATATGTGCATTGAAAATTAGGTCTGTTGGGCAATAAATTTTTTACAAAAATATACAATTAACATTAGTGGTTGATAAAAAAATAATAACTGGTTATGTAAGATATAAGCAAGTAATAAATTTCTAATAAATATATAATTAATATTAATGTTCTTGATGAAAAAACAATAATAAATTACATAGGATATAAGTGAATATATTTTGAGACCTTAGGCAATAGTGTTAATGGCCTAGTATTACACACAGACCTATTGAGAAATGGAGGGAAAATGATGATAAAACAAAAATGGAAAGATTCTTCTCCCATGTTTGGTTGGGTCATGGGTGGAATGGAAAGGGTGGGAAAGAGGAAGAAAGGGCAAAATTAATTGTGCCGTTTAATTTTTAAATGTTAAATGGAGACATTGTACCATAAAAAAAAAAAGGATATCAGATTCTCATACATGAATAATTGCTAAAGTGTAAAAATGCTTTAATCTTAATTTTTTTCAGTCTTATATTTAAGCCATGTTTTAGAAACAATTAATAATCCTTTTTATAAGTTTTTTTTTGGCATAAAAATATGGATCATTAATTAATGCTTTTTTTTTCTAATTTTACCCTTTCACAATTTTCTATAAGTAAATTAAAAGGTAACATATGAGAGATAAAGCATTTTTAAAGATAACACATTTAATAAGGATAAATTGAGATTTTTTTTTCAAACACCAATAATTTAATTATTTCTCAATAGTTTTGATAAAATAGTTAAAAATAATTTATAAATAAAATCGGTACAACAATCAATCATGTAAGCAAAATTACTAATGCATTTGTGTGATATTGTAAATCCCAATATCACATAACTTGTGTACTTCCTTCAATTTTATTTATAAGATAAGGATATATTTATTTTTTAATTATATGACATGTCATTAACTTTTTTTTTCTTTTACTCTCATTAAATGTTAGAAAGAGATTATGATAATAAAATTATGCATATTTAGAAAGTAAGTTGAAAACTTAGTACTCTTTTTGGTCTCATTTATAAGATAGTGAAATTTTTTTTAGATCCTAATTATAAGATATTAAATTTTTATCGCAAATTTTTTTTACTCTCTATTGAATATTGATAAGAGAAAGTAGTATGTTTCTAATATATATATATATATATATATTTAATATAAGCAAAGTTAAGAATTTAATAAATTTTTAAACATGGTTAATAAGTTTTAATTTTTTTTGATTATTTTAATAATAAAATATGTTGGAAGTAATTTAACTAAGAGTAGGAGAGTAATTCTTAGGAAGGGTTAATGAATTTTAAGATTTTTTTTAGTTTCAATAAAATATGTTAAAAATAATTTATAAATAAGATAATATTAGTATAATTATAGTGGAGTGAGACCGAATTGAATAAAATTTTAAATTTAAAGGCTCATATACTACGCTTCTTCATAAAAATTACTCACTCTATCTAAAATTATAAGATATTTTTGAATAAAATCTTATATACTAATAAACTTTATTAAATACACTTAATAGTTCTATTTTTTCAAAACAAAAATAAAAATTTTTAAAAATATCCTTCATTTATTTAATATATTAAAAAGAGCAAGGGATAAGAATTAAATAGATAAAGAAAGGGTAATATTAAAATAATTATATGCAATAAAACTTTAATTTTTTCAAAATATTTTATATTTTAAAATATCAAATCTCTTTTAAAATGTTTTATAATTTGAGATATTGGGAGTATTATAATAAACTTTAGTCAAGATGAATTGATGATGAACTCATCATTTTGTTCCAAAATTTATGACTATAATGAACAGAATTTCTACATTTGTTCAAATAATATATCCCTAATGTACTAGTGATGAATTCATCATTTTGTCCTGTAACTCGTGTTTTTTCATGTTCAGACGACGAGAACTTGCATCATTTGTAAATTTTTAATTATGGTGAATCGATTGATTGGCTGAGGTTAGAGAAATTTCACACTTATCATTGTGAATTAATTTTTGTTAAGGTCAACCATAACTTTGAATTTGACTAATTTTTTTATCTACTTGATTTGACATTCAATTAAGAAATAATGCAATTATTTCAGATCGTCAAAGTAAAATGACAAAACATTTGTTGGGCAAAAAAAATGTCAAAGCATTTGGATATGCTCTTTTCCCCCCCAACACATATAGCTATGCTTTAATCAATATACTAGTGCATGCAGTTAATTAAAAAAATCCTACTATTAATGAATTATATGTGTGTGTGTGTGTAAATATAATGCGACTTATTATAGATTGAAAAATGTGTCCCTGACATCTCTATTTTTCTCTTGGAAAATATTCACTGTTCATTTGATTATCAAATTTCCATCTCATTTACAAAATCTATTTAATTATCATGCTGATGAATGGGTTACACAGTTACACTAAATCGTAGTAAAAATAATAATAATAATAATAAATGTATTGTATTTGTACCTTAGCATGCGATATTGCAAAAAGTCAAGAAAGCCAAACAAACAAAACAAAGAACCAGTGAGTTAAGTTTTTCTATAATTAGTTGGCATTTTAAGTGGCTTTCTTCACCTTTTCATAACTTATACCGTTCCATTTTTTTTTTTTGAAAAAAATAATAATAAAATCCTATCAAAATATATGAATGACAATCATATCCTTTAAAATGTCATAATACCTTTAAAGTCTTTGGAAACTTTTATGAAGTTAATAATTTTTATTAAATAATTAAATTATTTCTTGTTTAAAATAAAAATAATAGGTGGTTCTATTTTTTTAATAAGAACTTTTATTTTGTGAATCATAAAAGTTAAACAATAAATTATGTAAAATTTTTTTTATAATTGATAACCACTTGATAGAGGTAAACTTTTATTCTTTTGAAAAATGGTTTACACAAAAAAAAGTTTTATTTATTAATAGAGTGCCCAGAAATTCTCGAAGGAAAGTATAGAGGCAAAAATATAATTCAACCTGTCAAAATATTAATCTTTTTATTATTAAGTGTTTAAATCATAGAGACGATTTGATGAAAAACAAATACAATAACACAAATGATTAAATATGTGATACCTATCTTAAAGCAAATCGATATGTATGGGATACGGGTAAGTTTATTGTATTTTCAAGTATCGTTGTATTTTCAAGCATCACCATGACTGTAAACTCGCCATCATGTTTGCAAGGATTGAGCAATAGAGATCGCGGATCAAAGGGTAAGAATATCAGCATTCACAATAAGATTGATTTTTAATTTTTTTTTAACCAATCATAGCTTTCATATCTATCTATTTTAATACCATTACCGCTCTACCAAGCATAAAAATATACAAGTATTCTCATTATTAAATGTAGAAGTATCTTTCATGTCTATTTTAAAACTATCATCACTCTTCCAAACATCAACAAATGTATAAATATTGTCATTATTTTCTACAGCATACTACACAGGATAATGAATCACAATATTTTTCTGGCCTTTTTATCACAATAATTCATTATATTATCAATCATAATGCATATCCTCCTTCCTTTTTCACTCTATCAAACATGTAAGTTTCAAGTCCAGCCAATTCAGATTAATAATAAAGAAATTTAAGGTATCTACAAGAGCCAGAAATCTCGATTCCTAACCTACTAAACAAGAAAATTTAATATTCCCAGATGTAGGGTTTTTCTGATAATCTACCCAAACCTTCTCAATCAAAATACCTTTTAGACTTAGATTACAATTAGAAGGGCAACCATGTAAACCAGTAGCAACAAATTCCACAAACTAACAGCAAACAATTTTAAAATAGTGGGCCAAAATATGACCTTTTGGAAGTCAGGAGTTACAGAGGAACTACATGTGCCAACTTCCAGAGTCATCAAATCCTTCAGCATCCAGAAGGGTACAACTGTAGATAACATGCCCGACAAATATTGGTTCTGCTAATTACCACAGCAAGCTGACCTCTGGGCAGCTTGACCGCCACCAGCTGCCTGATCTGGTTGATTTATCTTGATTGTCTGAGGCTGAACCACCAGAGAAAACAAACAAATCGATGTTTCAGCAAAAGGAAAAAGAAAGACCAACCACAAATCTAATATCAGACAATATAGAAAGAGTACAGAGAGAGAAATTTCCCATTCATGATGCATCTAGAATTTTCTAAAGCCCCATTTGAAGGGGGATAAAACATAGGTATTTAAACTTGCATACTGAACATAGATTTTGTCAATAATAAAAGCAGAACAAGTGGATTTTAATTTTCGGAGAAAGTTAAAACTTAAAAGTATTTATAACTAGAGTAAGCTGGAGGATAAATCATGGGTAAAAATAAATACATGTCTTAATTTAATAAGAAACAAACACCTTAAATATACAAGGTTAAGTGCCTAAACTAAAAAGGTGAAAATAGAAGTAATAGTTTTTGCAATGTCTATTATGTCTTTATTATCATTGGTAAATACTCCTTCCAATTCAAGATATAAACATTTTTTCTCAGAAAATGTTGGTTCAAAATATAAATAACCTAGTATATGTGAATTTTTTTCCCATTTTTCCCATTGTATTTATTAACCTAAATCCTTGTATAAATGTATCTCTCACTTATTATGAAATACATTGGTAATTGGGACTAAGGGTAAAAATATATATATATATATATATATATTTTTTATGAGAATGATAACTTTATCAGTATTCATATTTTTCCTAAAAGCTACTTATATTTTGGACCAGAGGGAGTAGTATTTATTATTTATTATTATTTTTTAAAGGATAGAATAATCATTCCTTATCCATAAAATCACTTTTTTCATTCACTTTTTATTTCTATTTCTTCACATTCTATGCACCAAATGAGGTTCGTAACGGACATACCTCAGCTCTAGAGTCTGTTTCAGCAAGCCTTTGCTTGATGTCTCTTGCTATTGAGAAGAAAACCTCTTCCACGTTCATGTTTGTCTTTGCACTCTACAATCACGTTTTAACACAAATATATCAGATTCACATGTACTTTGAGATCTTGGTCAACAACTTGAGCTTGCTACTCACAGTTTCAAAGAACTTGATACCATACTCATCAGCAAGAGCTTGACCTTTGGACGTAGGCACAACCTATAAAAATAAAAGGAATATTGCTCGTCAACATTAATAGAAAAACGCTTCTCAAGCATAGATGCAAGCTCAATCAGACAAAAGAATACACCATCAGATCATTTCCCTATTTGCTACCATACTCAACGAAGGATCCCTGCTTCTAAGTCACAAGGAACCTTCCTCCATAGAAAAAGAATAGAAGGGAAAGCATGGAGACCTTTTTGAGAAAGTCATGCACTAGCCACAGCTAGTCACCAAATTAATTACACATAGCCAGAAATGAAGTTTTGGAAAGTGAATAGAAAAAGCAACACCATATATACATGCATACCCTTTTACTTTCATCCATATCAGCCTTGTTGCCCACAAGTATCTTGTTTACATTGTCAGATGCATGTTGTTCAATGTTGCGAATCCAATTCCTAATATCTGAAGAAAAACAGAAGCTACATAAGAATTAAAAGGAAGCAGGTTGAGAGAAATAAAATACAATTTAAGGGGCCAAACATGGCAAATTGGCCATGGTACTACACAATATATATATATATATATATATTTTGCAAAATGCTAACAAGCACAGAAATATTTCCCATTATACAACAAATGAGAACTTGGCTGCTACCAAACTAAGTTTTAAAATTTCTTTTTCCCAACACTTTGTACTGAAATTGGTTTGCATTATACCAATTTCAATACAACTATTTAAAATAAAAAACTGTTCAAGAGCATGTCGTCATTTTTTTTTTTTTTTTTTTTGCATAAAGCATCTAATATTATGAGCCTGTCTTACATCGAGCTAGAGATAGTAATTGAAGCCAAATCTGACCAGCTAATCTGAATGCTAGAAAAATGTTAGGGTTGAGTTTGAGAGTTTAAAATATTTTCTTTATTTCGAGATTAAAGTTGCCTGAATAAGCCAAAAAAAAATCTAGGCCAACCTGAACTCGACTGGGCTTAGCACAAATACTTAAATTCTTTCATATTATTAAAAATCTGAAATTAACATTCACCTCAACTGTCACTTAACCTTCATAAATCCTCTTCAAGACTTCCAGTTCACACATTTCGCACTCCCAAATGAAAGTAACATTTACCATTTTCAAAAGATATTCAAAACAAATGATTATTAAAATATTAAAAGTTCAATTTAGGATATCAAAATGTGCAAATTGGAAGTCTGGAAGAGAGCTTATGAAGGTTAAATGAAAGTTGAGGAAAAGAATTCGACTACTTGAGCAAAGCTCATTCCGGTTTGTGCTATGTGACCCAAATAAACCCAAAGTAAAAAAAAAAAAAAGAATTCTAAACTCTCAACCTAATCCTAAGATTTTCCAAGCTTATTTGAGTTGACCTGAATTATCACCTCTACCTCGATGTGAAGCAGGCTCAAAATACCAAGTGCTCTATGCAAAAATAGAAAAAGAAAAAGAAAAGAAAAAGAAGAAGGTGACAAAGCTCTTGAACAGTTTTTTATTTTATTTTACAAGGTTTATTGAAATCAGTCTGGCACAAAATGATTTCGGTACAAAATGTCAGGAAAAAGAAATTTTGAAACGTGGTTTGGTAGAAGCCAAGTTATCATTTGTAGTATAATGGAAAATATTTTTGAACTTGTAGCATCTTGGGAATTTTTTTTTTTTTATAGCACCATAGTCAATTTGCCGCCAAACATGGCTGAATAGAAAGCTACAAGAAATACTCAGAAAAATGTGAATGCATAAATACATCAAACAAGAAGGAAACAATTATCATTAAAACATATAAATTTCGAATGTTGAAAGCAAGGGAAGAGAGTAGTACTATTAAAAGATGCTTCATCAGTAACATCATAGACCAGCAAGATGCCCATGGCTCCGCGGTAATAAGCTGCAGAAGTGTATAAAATAGTAAGAGACCTCCATTTCATCAAACAGAATATTGGTAAACTAGACTATAACCACACCTCCTATTACTGTAGAAATTGATCACATTCATTAGACAATTTTAAATGGTTTGTTAAACTAAAGAGTTTCATCTATGCATAAAGCGGTCAATAAGCCCTCTCCCCACTTGATTTTTTTTTTTTTTTTGGATGATGCTCTAGTGTAAAATTCACATCAAAGAGGGGGAATGAGACCCAAAACTGTCCTTCACAACCAGTCCTTCTAAGTGGGCTAGGAGCCCTAGAATTACACATAAATATTATCTTGCCCTCTTGATCCCCAAGGGGGCAAGGGGGTCAGCTGGCATATTTGCCTCTTCCAATTTGTTCTATGGCAACATTCTGTTCCTGTTTGACCAGAGTCTTGACTTTTGATGGCTAGGACAGCAGAGCTAGCTTAATCACTTGATTTAAAGCATTTTTTCTTCAAACTTCTTGACTTGTTTTACAAGTATATTCCATCACAAATTCTCTAATGTCAAAAAAGATAACTCATTATATAAGAAGTACTTTTCCAGACTAACAATGATTTAAGAGTTACTGGCTAAAAAAAATTAAAGAGTTAATTTCCCTTACATAAGCAAATTCAATTAATATGTTTAAATAAATCAATTCAATTCCACTAGTTTGTTCACCAATCTCCATGGAAGACATTTATTTATCTCATGAAAATCTCCTAACCATGCAAGCTTCTCTCCTGTACTGCTACATTACTTCCAATCATTTTAGTTATATATATCAAACCTGAAAACTATGACCGTATAGCATACTGTAGAACCAAAACTGGAACATATGCAATTATCAGAATCTATTAATATTTCCCTCAATCTGACATCAATGTGATCACACAATAATGCATTACGCAACATGATGTTTGTTAGGTAGCTACCTATCATGTAAAAATGTTAACTATTATTTGGGAATTAAGGCTTGTGACCCATGTTGTAAAAGAGAGAACACATACCTGTGGTGATAGTTCGAAATCTCTCCTGACCAGCTGTGTCCCAGATTTGCAGCTTAATGCGTTTGCCATCAAGTTCGATGGTTCTTATTTTAAAATCAATCCTGTTAAAGTATCACATTAAGAACTTAATACTTGAATAGAGACAATTACTTGCACAAAGCACAAGCATCAATGTGGACACATACACATATAAACAATTTGGCGGTACCCAACAATGAACCAATGCTTATATTAAACATGAGCTTTTCTAAGAAACTATACACCATACAAACTCTGCATTAAGTCCAACCCTGCAATGTTTTCCAGCACATTAGAGATAAGAAAAGTGGTTCGGAAAAGCCTTAATAACTACATTGTAGTGAATGGACACACTGATATGAGCATTGAAATATCATGAACACGAGATCAAAAGCATCTATGTTTTTAAAGTGATTATATGTAAGTTCCTACAAATACTCACCCAATAGTTGTGATAAAACTGGTGGTGAAGGAACCATCAGAAAACCGCAAAAGCAGACAACTCTTCCCCACACCTGCAATAGTTCAAGTCGGAAGGCTAAATAATCAGAACAAAAACTCACGTACCTAAAACAGACCACTATAAATAGTATGCAAAAATACCCAATTGCCCAAGATCTCACACAAGACACTAAAAAGAAATGATAACATCATTTTGGAGAAGATACATTAAGAAGACTAGAAAAAGCATACTGATATCAGCAAAGAAAGAAGGATCTTTCAATAAAAAATTCATCAACAAACTAAAGAGGCCCTCATATGAATAAGGCCAAAATAGAGAATACAAGTCAATAAAAAGATGCAATCATTTTTCAACTATCATTCTATCAAAAGTGGTTTTTGACAAAGAAGGTCTCTTGCTGGCTGTGAATAACCACTGATATCCTATGTAAATAAGCATATACTCTCCATACTAGACAGAACAGAAATATCCTGATCCACAAGATAGCCAAATAGACACCATAAAAGAAACAACAACTACAACAAGGCTTATCCCACTAGGTGGAACCATAAAAGAAACATATGCTACAGAATCTGCAATCTAACCATCCCCATTAAAAACTAGTCCTGATTCCAGCTGAAATCAGGGGCCAAATAGTAACTAAAAAAGCTGGACTTCTCTAACCATTAAACTAAGCAACAAAATTCAAAGTATTAATGCTGGACCAATTCAACCATCGCCACAGTATCAGGGTAAATGGATCTTTAAATGTCAAAGTTGTACCTTTAAGGCATTTTATTTCAAGATGCCCAGAATCAACAAAAAGGCATTGCCCAGGTGGTTAACTAAGTCACATAATCTGCTAACAATTAGTCTCATGGTTTCTCAAAAAACTTATATTCAGCCATCATTTATTCCAAATACTCACCAAGGATTTTGCAAAAGTAGTTGTCAGAAAAGAGAAAGAACATGTGAAGCAGTAAATTGATGACATTGGCAAGTTGTAAGAGAGCAGAGAAACATAACTTTCATCTGGCTTTAAATTAATCTAATGGCTCAAACACCAATATAATTAATAAGCTCATAACTTCAATTTTGCATAAAAGATCACATCATGTACATCATCCATATCAAAATCAAGAAATACACCCCCCAGTCTTGAATATAAGAAAGTTTAGGGAGACTTTTTTGTTCAAATTATAAAAATTAAAAAAACAAAGAGTTTATATTTGGTGCATTAATTACATTATTCCAGCTATGCGCCTCATTAAATTGGGAAATAAGGTAGAAGTTAAAACGTTTGTGGAAAAAAATTTCAAATTGTGACATATTTAAGAAAGATAACCAGTTATGTTAATCTTAGTGAGATAGTTATTTGTTCCTTATATTCAAGACCAGAGGTAATACGATATACTACTTTTGGTTACAAATAAGTATAGACTGTTGAACAAATGATTCCCTATCTTTGTCGAAGAATAAACTTGCACAAAAAACTCATGAGATTAAACATGGAATTAAAGATACAACGACATTCTTATCCAAAAGAAAGGATACTATGCAGAGAAAATACAGCATTTACTAAGTTACCATTATAGTACTCTATATAGAGTATAGACCATCAAAACAACTACCAATATGTACCAACAGCCCTATGTCCGATAAAATGATATGTTTGTTAAAAATAAATTAAAACAAACACTCCTAAAAAATGCAATTCAGCAAACTCATGAAGAGATAGTGCCTCGACGAACGCCCACAGTTATCCCTTCAAAAGTCAAAAATCTAAACGCCAAGCGACCCGCTCTTATCTAGACGACTGGAAAGATAAATTCATAATTTTAACAACAAAAAGACACAAAGCAAGATAAATTCATCATTTGAAACCACATAGGCTTCCTAAAATAACCGATCAGTATCACCTTCCATTTTCTACACAAACCAATTATGGTAAACCCGAACTAAAAACAAAATGACAATAAAACAGTACTGAGATCTAGAAACTTAACCACCCATTTGCTTTCCTTAAAATTCCAAGTAAAATTGCCCCGGGGGGGGGGGTTTGGAGATATGGAAGCAATAACAAACCACTGTCGCCAATAAGAAGAAGCTTAATGAGGTAATCGTAATCGGCACGAGCCCGTGCTGGTGGCGCTGCCATCGGTTATTATTTGCGAACACAAATTGAAAATTCTCGCGCAAGCGTCTCTATCAATCCCTTTTTCTAACAGAGACATAACAGCGTCAAAATTGAATTGGGTAAAAGAGATCACAACCGGAAATGGAACCAGAAAATTGGAAAGCAGAGAGAAATGATACCTTCAGCAAAAGGTTAACAAGTCGTCGTCGGCGACATGGGGAGAGATCAGAGAGAGTTTTCGGGTCGTTCTCTCTCCTCGTATAAACAAGACTTCGTGGGTGTGTGGGTGGGCAGTGGATGCGACGAACTCTTAAAATAGTCTCGGCTACATCAGATCCCCATATACTTTCATTTTCATTTTGGGGCCGTTTCTTCAAAGGATGATTCTTGATTGCTTTTAAGATTCATAATTCATTGAAATGTCTCCTCTCTCTTGCTGTTTTTTTGGGCTTAATGCATTTAATTATTCTATTAATTCTCATCAATATATTCAATTTATTACACTTGATTTGCAGATGAAATATTTTTTTTTGAATTAAATATAGTGGCATCTCTTCTCTTTTGCTAAAAATTTAAAAGTGAATGATTATTAGACAAGGTTAATATTTTTTTTTTATTGTTTACAGATATCCTCCTATCTAGGGTTATACATGGACAAGGTCAGATAGGGCAGACATTTAACCCAATGCTCTATCCTAATTGTCTTCGGGCTAAAAAATCATGCTCAAAGCCCGACTCTACCCTAAAGATGCCCATTTATGAAGGGGTTGGGCTGGCAGGGTCGGGCAAGGCTCGAGCATATAGGGCTGGATATCCAATATAGTATCCTTTTTTTTTTGTCACTTGAAAGCTTTTAATTGGATTAAAATATATTAAAATTGGGCTTAAAGTAGGCCTTAAAAAATCATTACTAACAACAAAATCGTGGGCTCAAAATGGTTGAATAAATCATAGACTAAAAAAACTTTATAGTAACAACATAATTGCAAATGAAAAAAAAAATCAACAAACCTAGAAATGACAAAAAAGAAGTATAAAAAAGAGATCTATAGATTCACTAACCATCACAATGGTTTATAACGCGAGAGTCAATGCTTAGTCTTTGAAGCAATATAATCCCTTTTGGGTTCTTTGTGTGTCTTCGGATTGTTGGAGCATTAAAGAGTAAGAAAATGAGTAGTAAAACAATCAGATTCAGAGCTTCGGAATTATAGACCAAAGCTTACAAATAAGAGACCAGAGAAACAGGATCTTGATGCAAAAAAAGAAAGCAATGAAGCAGCCTCGACAGCAATAGAAGGCAAGCAACAGACCAAAGGCAAACACAGTTGATGCAAGACCTTGGATGGCGGCAACAATAAGCTAATGGGTGGCCAGTGATGAGAAGGAGATGAGGAGCTGACACCATAATATAGAGTCATCAGAACAAGAGAATCTCTTAGTCTCACTCGCGATGGGAGATGGAGATGAAGAGAGGTGCCAAGATGAAGGAAGGAACGATGACTCGTGATGGGAGACGGAGACGAAGAGAGGTGCCAAGAATGAGGGAGGAACTGCATTGCTAATTCTTGACCTTAAGTGGCGATGCGACTTGTGAGATTGAGCAAGGAGAGGAGAGGAGTGGATAGGGGGGAGAGAGAGACGGTTGAGAACTAAAAAGAAAAGTTAAAACTTTGAGTAAGGAGAAGCTAGGGTTTTATCTTAACTTGTCACTTCCAGCCAATAAAATGCCATCATTTTAATTTTTTTAAAAAACTAATATATAATCTCGGCCCGGGCAGGGTTGACTAGTTAGATGCCCTAGCCCTAAACCTTGCCCAACCCGAGGTTCAGGCTCAACCTGACCATGCCCATTTATTTTCGGGCAATTATTTTCAAGCATGAGTAGGGTAAAAAACCATCAGGTCGGGTTAGGCATTTCGAGCTTTCGGGCTTCTTGCACAGCCCTACTCCTATCATAATTAATCCTTTTTGAGACATAATCAGGTATTAAATGTGAGTAACTCTCCTAGTAGGAATTCAAATCTTAATTTACCAAATTGTGAGAAACTAACTCCTTCGGTTAGACCTAACCCTTGTTGGTAAAAGTAAAGTTAATATTTAAACAGGGGTATTTTAGTCTAATGCATGAAACTCAACGTTCAATTAAAGGATGGATGGATAGATGGAAATGAAATCTCGAAAAGAGGGGGCGTTTGTGTTCTATAATTATTCATATTAAGAGAGGCTTGTACAAGTTTCAAATATTGAATAAAAGTATCTGTAATTAAGATAAAATAGAGAAACAACTAGAGTATTTTACTCTTATTTTTTTGAAGTTTGCCTAAAGTTCGACCGTGGCTCCTAAGTTAATTTTCTTATTGATAAATATATTTTCTTGAACTTCTCTCTATGGTCCCTATTATATTTTTCCTTTTAGAAGGGTTTTTTGATATTTAATATAAGACAATCGATATAGTATTAATTACATTTTTTAATATTAACTCTATTTAAATTCATTAACTATGAGATATAATGTAATGTATGGGTGAAATTGATATTTATTATATTTTGGAACAAAATTAATGATTTAATTATTTTTTCTTGATTTTAGTAAAAGTAATGTTAATAAAAGTATCTTGTAAATTTTTAAGCTGTAAAAAATTTGATGGTATTTTTATTAATTGAATTAAAATATATTGTATTTTTATTTTGAAAAATATTTTTGAAGATAAAGATGAAACTTATGAGATTTCATAAGCTTGTGGAGAGTATTTGTTATCAACTAGGATAACAACACACTCAAAAAATGTCATTAAACATGGCTTTATAATTAAGGGACTTTTATAGATATAACATATATTATAAGATCAAACCAAACAAATAGCCAAATATTTATTATATTTTATATTATTATTATTAGTTTATTATATTTATTAATGATATACTGTTGTATATCAATAAATTTTTTTATAAATTTTTAAATTTTTAATAATAAACCTTTATATATCAATGATAAATCTCTTGTATATCAATGTGAACTAACTATATTCTTAAATTTTTAAAAATTTGGTCTATATTTTTTGAGTACAATATTTTTTCTGCCAATGGGCCAATTTATTCCTTAATTAATATATATTAAAAATTAATTGTTTGGTAGAATACAATGATATTTTGTAATCTATTAATAGATGTTGAGTTTAGCGTAGAGGCCTAATCTTTTACTATGTAACAAACTAATATTTAAATTTTACTAGAAGAAATGCCTACATTTCATACCCAATCATATCTCATTTAATAACATCTACAATTATAAGTTATAACCCAAAAAAAAAAAAATCATACATTATGTAATCTACCTCACTAACTTCACCTACTTGGTGTTGGTTACTTTCCCTGAGCGACTCAAATGCCATTCCAAGGGCAATCCAAACATGCTTAACACACGATCTTGTTAACAGTTTGATCATACTTTTTTTTTTCATTCTTTATTATGAAATATTTTTTAAAATTGTTTTTGTCATTAATATAAAGCATACTATGAGGTATTAATTATACATTTTTTAAAAAAATTTTCTATTTAAACTCATTAATTACAAAAAAGAATGTGATACAAATTTAAAAAATTTTCATTTAAATAGAAGTAAAATTATAAGTTTATCTAATGTTTAAACAAAGTTACTAACTTACTCTCTTCATCCTTTTCTATGTATTAAGATATTTTTTAAAAAACTTATTTTATCTCTAAATATAAAATGTATCATGATATTTTTAAATAATCAGACAATTTTTTCATTATCTTAAAACATGGAAGAGATATATATTAATTATATGCTTTACCCACTAGTATTATGATATTAATTGTGACACTATTAGGAGAAAAACTAAAAAATAATTGTGATTTTATATAATTTCAACCAAATAACAAGCTTTTATTAATATGTAGGATTTGATTAAAAACACATTATATATAGAGATAAAGGAAGTAACAATACCTATCCTTAGGTGATGTGAATAGAAGTAGAGACCAAAGGAAGTATATATATATATATAGTCCATGTCAATATTTTAAAAAATAAAATAAAAGTTGACACGCATAGATAAATAGATATTAAATTATTAATTTCATCTGTCACATATAATTAAGGGTTCTTACATTAAATATAAATCTTTTAATGAAATCGAGAAATGTTGGTTTCATTCAACATATCATTCCAATCATACCATTCGCCGTCCTTGCAAGGACCTTCTTGAGATATCTCCCAAGTACACTTATGGCAAGAATCTCGTTGCTGTGCGTATATGTCAAAGTAATGAACCGATTTTTCTGTTTGCCACCAAAACGAGCAAAAATACAAGACATTGGGTACAATCAGATTCTCGAAGAAGCTGAACTCAAACATTTGATCAGGCTTGAGAGTTCGCTTTCCAAGATCATGATTCTTATCTTTGCAATGAACGATCATGTCCATCTCATCTGTTAATTTGTTAATGATTTGCACTGTTACTTTAAAAGGGAAGGACTCACCACCTTTGGACATTGCTGCAACCAGTACTATAGCTTGCATCAGAATCAGAGATTTGATATTTGGAGCCATATCTTTGTAATTTTTCAGATGATGCAATGTTAATAAGGTCACATCACATACCTACCGTTTTATATATAGGTCATTACTGTTATATTCATGAGTAATTTTATTAGCATTAGTGTATTAATTCGGAGCAAAATCAATGTCTTAAAGAATTATATTGTTTAATTTATTGAATTTATTGTATAGGATTTAATTTATGGAATATCTTTCGTTTATTCATGCGTTTGAAGAAAAGTATTAATTACATTTAGTTGACATAAATGCAAAATGTAGAGTTTGAAAATAAATAACCAAGAAATATTTTTAACTTCGCTAGAATCAAGGAATGATAGTGTAACTTAATAAATATATCTTAAAATAAAAATATATTTCAACTTTACTCTTATTAAAACTAGGAAAAATAGATACACAATATGTAAAGAGTCATAAAATTAAATGAGACTTTTATAGGTATAGCTTATGTTATAAGATCAAATCAAACAAATAATCAAATATTTATTGTATATTGCATTATGGATGATTTATTATATTTGTTAATGATATACTGTTACATATCAATGATAAATTCCTTCTAAATTTTCAAATTTTTATGATAAACCATTTGCATATCAATAATAAATTTCTTATATATCAACATGAACCGAGTACACTCCCAAATTTTAAAAAATTTGGTCTATATTTTTTGGACACAACATTTTTTTTGTCCAATAGGCCAATATATCCAAATTAAATTTACAACAATAGTGAAATTGAAAAATGATAATAAATAACTCTA